ATCTTTCCACGAACTACAACCCATTGCCCACCAATAGCCGGAGGAGCCTTCAGCAGCGGCCTCTTGCACCATTCCATCCCTCTCTCCACGCGTCTCTTGACAAACCCTTTGGGGTCCCCTTCCCCATAGATTTTTTTGTTTTCCTTTTTCATCCTTTCTGTAGGTTGATGAAATCAAAAGTCGTAATCCAATCAAATCTCAAGATTGAGGTGCCCCGTTACTTGCCCTCCACTCATGAGCGACTCAGTTAAAGAATTGTTTGGAGAGGTTGGGGTGGGTTAAGTCACTTTTTTCTGTCGCTAATACTTAGGTTAGGAATGGTAAGAGTTGATAATAATATACCAAAAATGATCAATTGACATCTCATATAAGTGTAAGGTACTTACACTATATCTTATATTATTGATTTGGTCAAAATTAATACATAGTATTAATTGATATTAATTTCTAATAGATTAAATTAATGTCATCTGTTAGTGTGAAATGTAGTGTAAGTGTTTTGTACTTACACTAGATGTCAATTGATCTTTACTCATAATATATTTATTTTATTATGGTTTAAGAAATTCATTTTCATATTTATCTCATCTTCTGACATAAATTAATTTTAATCCCTGTCATTTTTCTTGTCTAATAATATACTTACAGACTACTTTTAATATAATTTATTTTTTAAAATTAATAAGATAACACAGTTTATAATTAACAAAATAGCACAAATATTCAAATTACATCTTAATATTTTTTTTCAAACCAAATAAAATCATAATATAAGTGTTATTATTTTACAAACTAAATTAACAATAAATCACTTAAATATAATATTTGATGTATAATATATATAATATAATATATTGAGCACCTGATAAGTTGGATATTATAATTTCACTTATGTCTTTAGATAAATTTTTGTAAAAATCTGGAAACCCGATTAGATAAAATTTATTTGAATAAAATTTATAAGTAGTGGTTGGGTATGGATAAAATTCCCATGCCCAACATGGGTTGTAATCCTGTACCAATTGATAAATATCTAAATTGTATTTAATGGAAGGTGTAATGCAAAGCATTTGTTTTTCCCTTATTATTCACCTAAGAGTTTGAACTTGTGCATTTAATTTTTAAATATAAAAATAAAAGTTAATATATTATAATTTTTAAAATTTTATATTAAAATATATGTAAGTTACAGAGTTTGAAATATCTCAAATTCAAAAACTTAACTAAATGGGTAGCCTCAAGATTGATGTTTTACGATCATATAATTAATTATGTATTAAACTTTTTAAAAATAACATAAATTATAGTATATATGTATATATCATGGACTAGTATTTTTTTTCTAAAAAATTAATTTAACAAAGTGGGTAAATTCATGACTTTCTTTTTTACTATTTGACGTAAAGATTGTGTTCATGACATACGTAAATATGTCTGCACAGACAGAGAGAGAGAGAGAGGGACGGAGGGTGGGGCGTGGGGGGGAGGCCTAGGCCCACAGTCAACGAGGGTTGAGGCCGTTGAATGGACTGGTGTGAAGCGCGGAAACCCTTTTTATTTTTGCATTTATTTTAATTTTTATTTCCTTTTTTTTTTTGGATTTTTCGACGGGCTCGGGGGCGCTCGTCTGCGCGTCTCATTCTTAACTACATCGCCGTCAAAGACTCCCTTTTCGCGTCCTCAAAACAGTGAAAGTTGAAAAACCTCGCGACCCTCGCCTCTCTATCTCTACCGGACGCTGAAACTCTGCGTCAATTCGCACCCGCCGTTGCAATTCTGCCGGAAAATCTCGAAATTTCCGGCGACTCATCGGAAATGGTTTCTCCCGAGAACACCAATTGGCTCTATGATTACGGCCTGATCGAGGATATCGCTGTTCCTGACGGAAATTTCTCCGCCCCAGCTTCTCGGCTCAGCTGGCCCATGCAGACCTTGAACGCTTCCCCCAACGTCAGGTACGGTGATTTCAATTCCTTTTCAAATTCAGTTCACCAGATCGGACAATAAATTATGGGAAATTTCCTCCCTTCTAGTCGATCCTTCTATTTCTTGCATGTCGTGTCTTTAAGCAGATTTGGTTATTTTTTTGGTTTCCCTTTTGATCAATCAAGTGTTTTCGTCTGTGTGTCATGAATTCTTACAAAATTATTATGATTATTTAGTTTTTTTGCCTGTACCCGTTCAGCAATCTTGTACTTTTACCTCTGTCCCTGTTTCTTTCTATGAAGTCTAATCTAACATGGTAAAATGGAATCTTTTTCTGTTGGGAACTTTTTTCTTCTAGTGCAGCTTTGTGGAAATTACTGTGCTTCATGAATTTTGAGCAAAAAGGTTGTGCTTTTTTTTAAATTACTCTTGTTCGTAACTGCATATTGGGATTTTCAGTCTTGTGGAAGCGTTCTAATAGGAAAGGCCAATGTAATGATTGAATTTTCCTGTTCCTTGTAATTGGATGGCAAATTTTGTCCGCTGCTGTTATCTGCTCTGGAAATGTCTTTTGTGATCGTGTCTTTAATTGTTTGGTAGTAGCACCATTTCCAAGAGCGAAACTTAGTGAAATTTTCACTTATGTATTGAATGGTACTGTTGGACAATCATCACATATAGTGGCGGCATTCTAACTTGAAATGAAAATGTTAAAAGAAACTCCTGGTAATTGACATCTTATTCACGGGTTATTAGGCCTTGTCTGTTTGTTTCTTTAATTTTTTGGTAGTTGCACCATTTCTTAGAGGGGACTAAGTTAATTTTTCACTAGTGTAGTGAGTTTTACAGTTGAACATGTTCATATGCTTGCTAGTAGCTACATTCTATGGTATGAATTAGAAAGGCTATGAGAAAAGCATGGAATTTGTACAGCTTATTCCTCAGGTGATTAAGGCTTGTATCTTTATAGCATCAGACTGCTTCACTGGTTCCTATCTTCTTGAAAATTCGGAAATTTCTCTTTGGGATTGAGTGGGCAGTGTATACCTCTAGAAAATCTTGATTCGATGCTATTTCACTCAAGTTTATGTTTTATCTCTTTACAGAAACATTTAGTTTCTTATCTTCTGTTTAGTAAGTGTAAGTGGCTGTGTTACATTGACTGGAGCATAGCTGTCAAGGTGCATTTTGGTCTCCAAGTATGAAATTTATCTGGTTTTCATGCCCTAGGAAATTCAGGCATGTTTGAACTTCAACATTCAGCTGATGAATGGGTCCAATGTAAATTCCACTTTAACAATTTGTTGTGTGCATCTCCAACTATACTTGCTAGAAGTCTTCCAAAATGTGCCCAACATGGCCACTTCTCAATTGGAATGGGATGACTCATTGCTACACTAATGAGTTGTATGATTCTGCATACTAATGAGCTGTATGATTCACTTTAATGATGTCTATAAACGAATGTCAAAGAATTGTGCAATGAATTCCTTATTGCTTCTGCCTCGTGTTTCTGGTAATCTGTTTTGTTGATAAGTTTTCTATGTTGTAGTCCAATATAAAAATACATAAATACATATATGTTATTTACTTGGGGTTGTCTTAGCTATGCTCATTGGGGAAACCTTTGTGTATTTGTTGATATTTAGTGCACTCATTTGTAAATGGTGGTAGAAAGAGATTTCAGTAATTTTGCAATTTATAGGAGTATCTCCATCAGGATGACAGTTTTCATTTAGTCAAAACTATATTTTTCTTGTTCTCATAATAAGTAGCATAAATGAGTTTGTATTTACTTAAATGTGTTGATTCGTTATGAACATTAACATAAGCTGGCTACACATAACTCCATTCAAGAGACCGTGCTGAACTTTTCTTAATAAGATTGCACTCCAGATATTTTCAATGTTTTTGTTTGTTTTCTCATTTCTGCCTCTTTTGTTTCTAATCTATATTTAGTGTTGAAATTGATGGTTCCTTGGGGGATTCAGACAACCACAAGGAAACTGGCTCAAAAAAGAGGTAAAAACTCTATTAGATTCACATATCTTGTGCTGTAGTCTATGTAGACATTTGTGTTAAAAGATGATGTGAAGTTCTACTATTTACAATTACACTCTATTTACATTTGAAAGTTTCAGAGCTGATTCTTTAGGGTGTATGTTTTCTGTTGGTTTCATAGATATTGCACCGTGAAACAAAAAGGCCTTGCAGGTTTGCCATTTACTGCCAACCATGCTCCTAGGCTATGATTGCTCGTCCTGCCAATTTCTGAGATGATGACCCAATATGCACAAGCTAGGAACAATGCAAAGCTTGTTTACCTTAGAAGGGTCTGTTTTAAGAATTTAATTGCACACGGATGTAAACACTGAGATGCTGTTCATACCAGAGGGACCTAGTAAATTCCCTGAGAACATCATCATTCCATTAGGTTTCATATTAAGTGTCAGGAAATCATATAGAAAATAAACTTTGGCTGAGGTGAGGGAAAGGAAAGGACTATGTAAAGAAACCATATAGTTTAAAAAGAAGTATCTCCGGATCCATAATTTTGTCGTCATGCAATAATTGACTTTAAACTTCTTAGCTAATCATCTACTCAACTTTCTCCAAGAGATGATTTAGAAATTGAGAACCATCTCTGATATTGCCAACCCAATCACTTATTAGCTGTAGTTTTGGCAGCTTTTGAGCCTTCATCTTCCTCCAACTCTGAATGCTGTCATATAATTCGTTGTTATATAACAAGTTTATGTGATTATATGGAGATTTTTCAATTTTGATCTGGCATAAAAAGAGGATTTTGATGGAAGTTTTCTCCTTAAAAAAAAACATTTTTAGCACGAGACAATTTCCCTTGGCAACTGAAAAAGTGCGCTGGAAGAAAACCATTTTTTATTATTGTTTTCTTTTCATGCCTTGTCAACTAAAAGGTACTAGGCAATGCCTGGCTGACCGAACATGCACTCCTCATTTACATTTAAGCTTTGGTTAGCTTATATGTTTGAATCTTATCCTCTAATAGCAGTGTCCTTGCAAATAATGCAAGATTTTTTTTTTCTAAGCACTGTATGGACTCTGATGTTTGGTTGAGGTCAGAAGCAGAATATTCATTTATCCTCTTAACCGTGTATTGTGCTGATAAACTGTGTATTTGTGCTAGTACTTGACCCTAAATCTTTCATCTATGCTTCTCTTTGACCTTTTTGTAATTCTTGTTAGGGGAAGGCCTGAATCATGTGGTGCATCAAGTTCTAAAGCATGTAGGGAGAAGTTGCGGAGGGATAGGCTAAATGACAAGTGTGAACTTGAACTCCTTGCCATACCTCTCTCTCTCTCTCTCTCTCTCTCTGTGACAACCAATATTGGTTTCATTTTTATAGGTTCATGGAATTGGGGTCTATCCTTGATCCTGGAAGGCCTCCTAAGATAGACAAGGCTGCTATTTTGGTTGATGCTGCTCGAATGGTGACTCAGCTGAGGGGTGAAGCTCAGAAGCTGAAAGATTCAACTTTGAGTCTGCAGGAGAAGATTAAAGAGCTGAAGGTGAATGAAACTCTCCAAAATTGACACTTCCACTAATCCTACTGTCTTCTTTTATTTCTGAAAAACCAGAATAGCGGTATTTGTAATCTCCTACTCTGTTACACTAAGTCATGCATTTACTTCTCTAGGCTGAGAAGAATGAGCTTCGAGATGAGAAGCAGAGGCTGAAGGCTGAGAAAGAGAAGCTGGAGCAACAACTGAAGACAATGAATGCCCAACCTGGGTTCCTGCCTCCACCTTCTGCTATCCCAGCTGCCTTTGCTGCTCAAGGCCAAGCTGCGGGCAACAAATTGGTTCCAGTCATTAGCTACCCAGGGGTTGCCATGTGGCAGTTCATGCCACCTGCTGCTGTGGATACTTCGCAGGATCACGTGCTCCGCCCACCTGTGGCATAATTCCACTTCTTACCTAAAATTCCTTGGGCATGGAAATGTACCCTCAATGCTCATTTATTTTCTTGTAACTGCTGACTATATTAGTTCTTGCTGAAGTGATAAACTGGATCTTGCGGTTGATGTATCACTCTTTTGCTATTTTGGAACTTGATGTTTAGATGTAAAGTGTTAATAAGTTAATCTGGCATGTCTTTTTGGAATCGTCTCTAAGGGTGGGGGGTAGAGTGTGGGTTTGTGAAGTCCTGCAGGTTTGTTTGTCATTTTGTCTTCCATTTTCCAGCTTGCTGCACTTTTGCAGTGCATACAGCTGCCTCTGAGGGAGGGAATTGTGGGAGGGCAGATAAAGTCCAGTTGGCATCTTTTGTAAGCCCTTGTGTTTCTGGACAAAGATCCTCACTGGTTATGGTTGTGACTGGAATTGGAGATGAATAATCTCCCTTTTTTTTTTGTAAGATTTAAATTTTCTCTCCTCACATTCAATGCTTGAAACATTAAATTTTTAAAGAGAACGCAACAGGATAGCCCTAGGTTCTGTTATAAACAGAGACTGGGCAATTAACTAGGGACTGGAGGGGATCCATCACCCTTCAGAGGATCTTGATGACGGATGGTTGACACTAGTGTGGGAGGATGTAGTTATTTTTACGACTGGTTATCATTATAAATTTAAATTCAAAAAGGATGAAATTTTGCAAGACTCTTGTACCTCAATTTGAGGATTTGATCATTGAGTCCTTCACTTCACCCTCAATACAACCCTAAAGCTTATAAAGTTTGGTTGGTAAACGTGTACACTCTTCCAATGCACTTTAATAGTAAATTAGTGGAATTGCTGGTATTTTACTTTATTACCTGAAGTCTGATATTGCTTTGAGGCTGGTAATGAGTCAAGATGTCCCTCAACCTTATCCACCTCCATCTTCAACCTTGCTCTCCAGCAACCTCCTCTTCTACTTAATCTGGAGATTCGAGAATGGCTTCTGGTCTTCCCAGGACCAACTTACAAACCATCGACCCTCCGAGGCATGTATTTCAGATGCAGCTAAATAGAACTCCTTTTCAATCTCTTTCCTTCTTTACGCGAACAAAGATTCATCATTCCCACATCTCTCTTGTCCCCTCAAAATCTCCCCCGCACCACAAAAATTGTTCTTCTATCCACTCGGCCTTCTATCTCCTCCCCTACTCCACCCACCTCCAAAGAAGAGGCGATCCTCCAAGCCAAAACCTCCCTCTCCGCCATCCTCGAGAAGCCCCTCAACAATCCCAAGCTGGCCGGAAAACTCAAGAAGCTGAAACAACCCAGACTCCGCGTCGAAATTCCGGTAGTCGACGACGACTCGCCGGTGTCACTGACCCAGCTGGCTCTCCAAGTGTTCGGCGACTTACCCATCAAAAGAAAAGGCTCTCCCGTTAAAGTTCTAATCCTATGGCGAAATCCCAATTTAACAGAAATTGCAAATGAAACTTTTGACTCAAATTTAGTCGAACATTCGGACATTTCATCCTATGCTAGCAATTATGATGCCAGAGATCTCAATTCTGCTGACGTGGGAGTGTTTTTGGCACCAGAAACTTCGCAATTGGAAGTTATGGAAAGGATTAGCGACATTTTGTACCCAAAGCCAGTGGTGATTTTTAATCCCAGATGGGGTTTTGAGGAGGAAAACAGTTTTCAGGGCTTGGGTGGCTTTGTGCGTTCATTCGAGGTGGTTTATTCATTCATGGGCTTGGAGGTTAGAGGAGTTCTGAGTAAGAGAAAAGGTGTGATTTTCAAGTGTGTTAGACATGGGGTTTTGAGTGGAGAGAAGTGGAGTGTCTTGGTTGAAGAAGAAGGAGAACTGAAACTGGTTTCTAGTTTCAAGGCACGGCCATCAATCACTGAAGTTGAGACTGTCTTGTACAATTTGATGGCTATTAACTCTCCCATTACAAAGTCTGCCAAGTTTTTGAAGGATTTGGTATCAAATGTAACTGGTAAAAAGTAAATCTAATTGAATAAATGTAAAATTTTCTCTCTTTTGATCTGTGAGAATATTTTTTGTTGAAATGACCGAAGGAGTGCATTTACATTGCATTGACTACGAGTTCAGCCGCTCACTGTGGACTTTGATTCGTTGATCAAAGGGTTTTATTGATTATACATAGCTCTATTTATTTCTTGCTTTTGATTTGTAGGAATTTTAATTTTATGAACACTTGAGCTGTTAAGGGTTAAACCTTGTATGGTTGCATGGTTTATGACAGTTAATTGTACTAAAAGTAGACTAATCTTTTCCTTATATGCCGTTGGCACTTGGTGTTATCTAGTATATGCGACTGAGGTTTGGGAGATGAGTTGTATGCTTTGGTGGAAAGAGTATACTAATTGTGCGCCAAGTTCTCAGTAGAATGCATTTGGTTGACATGTTTGCTTCAAATTGGTTAAGCAAGGTGGTCTCTGAAGCCTCTCATTGAAATATTTTGTAAAGTTCCTTGCCGAGACTAGCAGCTGTCCGGACAAATTTCACCTATCTTCCATGTTGTCGCAGAGATACATAGTTCTAGGAGACTGGCACTCCTGCATTTGTCTGTGAAAAGGAAAGTAGGAAAGTTAAGCAGCTTTCTGTAGGAGCTCACTTGTGGTCCTCCTGTAATTGTTGCGTCTTAAAGATCATGAATCTAAGGTAGTAGTTCTTGGAAAGGTAGCAAAAATAGGGGTCTCTTCATTTTGCATATCAAGGCATTGAAAGTTTATTTACACAGTAGTTCTGTCTATTATTTGCTTGAAAACTTAGGAGTTGAAGAAACTCCTATCTTTCCTCAAAAAATAATAGAAATATATTATATAGAACACCGAACTCCAGTGAAGGAAGTAGAGTTCATAACACTTGGAGCCTGTTGCCGTTATCATCTCTCTTCTTGAACTTGTAAAGAAATCTTTCCTCCTCCTGGTGTTCGTATGAAATCATTTTGTTTTGCAACTTAGGAAATCAACTCTCCTCTCGTTTCCCCTGTTAGGATGCCCTGATATGACAGCCTTTGACGAATTTGTCAGAGAAGTCCACGTACTTGGTCCATAGAGGCCGAAGCTTAGGAAATGCTATATCCAGCCATGGTTTCGCTCGGCCATTAAAATGGATGACACCAGCATTTTTGGCATCTTCAATGCTTGTATTATCCTGGTAGCCCAAACCCAACATGTGCCAGAAAGGATCAATTACATGGACATGCCCATGGAATGCTATCAGAGCTGGAGGTAATGTCCCTAGTTGCCACAAACTTAGGTCTGATTTCAAGTTCTGCACAAAAAAATATTTTGTTAGACAATTTTCCTGCAAGAATTTTCATTAACCCACCTGCATAGTCAGAATTCCGAAAACATCTCATAAACCATCAACTTTTTTTAGTCTATCTATTGTAGAAAACAATTGATTAGGCTGGTTACCTCTTCAACCCAGTGATGGTAAGTGAGGCTTATGTTTGTCTTCCTCCAAACCTCTAGATCAAAGATATTCATGCCATAGGCCCATGCACACTCATCAGGTTTGAAGTGTTTTGCTATTAAGGGATGAGAAAAGTTCAAATAGCTCTTTAATCTCTTCGACATCACAAACTTGTCCTCTCCCCTGCATGTTTCCACTGCTCCATTTACTTTACCACCCATGTCAATGTCCCATAGAGGGGTAAGATCAGTTTGAACCACAATATCATCGTCCAGGAAAACAACCTTATTCAGACTAGGAAATAACTGCAGAAGAAAACAACCATATTAATCAAGTTAAACTTAGCAGAATCTCTTTCGCAAACAGGAGTAGAAATCTACATTATTATTAGATTTACCTCTGGTAGATGTATGCGGATGTGATTCATTAGCGAGTTGTATTTAGGACTAAGTGCCTGCAACTTTGCAGCAATGACATAAGGTTTCTCGGTGTTATTTGAAACAATTGCCGAAGAACCACCTCTAAATTGTGATCTCACTTTCTGGTCCTTCTCCATGGCTTCTAATACGGGGACCTTCCCTTTAGTTAACCAATCAAAATGGTGCAACCCTTTGACCTCAATGATAGCAGGCGACAAAGGGTGTAAAGAGAACCAAGCCTGCATCGGGGAAAAGGTCTTTCTGTCCGTTATTATGTGAAGAACAATCTTCTCAGGATGTAGGGTATTTTGAACTAGTGATGAAGCAACAACTGATGCCGCCAAGACATTGTCTGAGGCGAGTATGAAGTGGTAGAACGAGTTATCTACTAGTGCAGGGACGAGTTCTGGTGAAGGAAGTTGCAGACGGGCATTGGCGTTGTTGGAATGCTCATTTGCGAGCTTTAGAGCAAGACAATGGAGCTGTTTTGGTATGCTGCTAGATGCTACATGGCGGTAGAGATACTCCTGAATTTTGGCAGTCCGCGTCCTCTGTTCCAGGAGGGTAACCTGGGGAAATTTAAAGGCTTGGCAGAATTAGGATTACTCTATTTCAAATCTTCTTCTATTTTTGCATTTTAGTAAATCATTCATTTTCTTATAATATGATCCATATTTCTTCCACTAACTTGTTAAACTTTCAAAATCCGACTTCTCTTAAAAGATCTAAATCATCCATGAAAGTACATATGCTCCCCGTATCAGGCTAGCTAAGTCACTTGATCAGTTGAATTGGGGGAGAGAGAGAGAGAGAGAGAGGAAGAACGGTGGTACCATAGATTTAAGCCTGACTGCGAAGGTCCTGGCATCTGGCCTGGCATTCTTCATTTCGGCAATGAAATCTTCCAATGTTTGTGGAACATCGGTGTCTGCTTCTACTTCATCTTCACTCAATGGTTCCTCTAAAACTTGGTAGATCACTTGAGGAACCTTTCAGGAAGCAAAGAAATTTAAGCTATTCCGTGTTTGATTATGACAATAACAAGATGATTACAATTCACAAAATTAAAATAATTAAATAAACAAACAGATGAAAGAGATTACAGTTGATTCATGCCTTCTTCCCATGATCCTTGGTCCTAATCTTTTGCCCAAGCATCCTGACATCATTAGTTCAAATAGATTGTTGTTCAGAAGCGTTTATCATCCGAAAAGTTGAATCGGACGTCCTTCTTTGCTTTCTTTCTTTTCTTTTATTTATTTTATATATTTATTCTGTTTTCTAGGTCAACTATTTCTGTACCACCCACCTCTAATTCTTTCCCGAATTAACAGACCAGACAGGCATGGAAAATCCGGTTGGAAAGTCTTTCTGAAAAATATGTTCTACAGAGAATTTTAGAGAACATGCCCATTTTTAAAAAATAATAAGTTTGCTCCGAAATAAATTTTTCAATATCTTCAGAATATTCTAATTTCAAAAACACAAAAATCGAAAATTGAGAATAGAAAACAGAATGGGAATCCAGAAATAGTTTACTTTGATTTCTGAACTATTGACATTCAGCTGATATCATTCTTTCTGTGAGTACATTGTATACCTCGACCGAAACAATGACTTGATTCTTTACTCTTTATTTTATTTGAAAACTGTGTCTTGTTCGTTACTAGTCTCTGTGAACTATAACCCGTGCGAAGAGAGAATTCATATAGATGAAAGGTACCTATATTCGAGCATTTGCTGTCTCCATCAATGGTGTCCACCGCAGTTAACACAAACGCAAACCGTAGAAGAAACATGAACAGAAGTAGTGAATAGAACACCGTCCGATATGAGAACCTCCTCGATCCCGCTTTCACCTTGATGAACTCCCTCACCCCTTTCGATGGCAATACCGTCACGTGGCGGAGACTCGGCGATATGTGAAGCTGCATTTTTATTCCCAAACACAGCCACGCAGAGAGAGAGAGAGAAACAGTCCAAGCAGAAAAAGGAAAAGATCCCAGTACTTGTCAGGACTTCAATCACCCCCAAAGAAGAGGATGAGTTGAATTGCAAATAGCAATGTGGGGGTGAGAGCTGCAGTAAAAGGGAGAGGAGGAGGGAGTTGGAGAGTTTCTGGGGTTGCTTTCATGCACCTAACCTTGCTTAGCATTGAGGTTATACATGAGAGGGGGGGCATTTAGGGAAATATATTATAACCAGGGGTTGTTTGGGAGAAAGGGACATGGGACTAAGAAGGGTGTTGTTTGGATACAAGGGTTTTGGCTTGGTTTTGAAGGAGGGAAGTTGAGAGAGAGAAGAGAAGAAGATGCAGACAAAGAGTTGTTTGGTGTTTGCTTGGCTTTGCAGTTTTGAGAACTGACAGAGATGAAAAACATGGATGGCTTTAGGCTTTTGATGTCAACAGTTTTTCTAAATGGAAAATGACCGAGTCTCTCTCTCTTTTTCTCTCTCTCTCTCTCTCTCACTTCGGATTGGAGGTTGATTAGGTTGGAATGAAAATTACAGGTGGAATGTATCTTAGACCCTAACTGATTGTATTTTAGTCATATTTGTGTTGATTTTTTATTATTTTTTCTCTTTCAGAATTGTTTATTATTTATTATTTACTATTAGCGATTATCTTGATGATTAGATTAATTCTAATTTGGATTATCTTTCTCTATTTATATTGAAAATAAGATTACGATAAATATATTCAAATTTTAGCTTTAAAAATAAAATATTAAAATAACTATACTAAGTTTCTTTGTACAACATAATTTGAAAAATTTAAGATGAAAATTGGAGATACGGACAATATCTCTATCTTGTGGGAGTATTTTAAGAGATACTATTTAATATTTGTGGTTATCTTTATAATTAGATTAATCCTAATTAAAATTATCTTTATCTTTTTTAAAAAAAAAATAAGATTGGGATAAGTATATTTAAATTTTATCCTTAGAATTAAGAGATTACGATAATTATGTTTTATTGTGTGAGCGTATATATATATATATATTTTTTTTTTTGAGTTGAAAAATATAGTATTTATCATCTCTTGTGATTATAGTCTAGTTATACTAAAATAAGTAATTTTTTTATTTTTATATATCTATCTTGTATCTCTACTCGATTTTTGGTTTTTTTTTTTCAGTTTGCAGTAGTTAAAAATTGATTCTCTCTTCTCAATTTTTGGTTTGACCATTTTATAATGGAATTTACCCAATTTAGGGTATCATATTACAGAAAGAGGACAAAACAAAATCAGATTTTCCAAATAAAGGCTCTTGCTACCATAAAAGAAAATTTGAATGAACAGAGAGCCTCTTTGAAAACCCAATAAAGTTATGTTCGATGTGAGGCCCTTTTGTTTTCTCTTATTTTCTGGTGGGGAAACAAATTATATTTTTAATTTAAATTTATACCCCACATCTTTGATTATTTCAAAAAGTAGTTTATAACGTTTTAGTTTTACCAAATCAACTCCAAATATGAATTTTTTTACAATTAAATTATTCAAATTGGTCTAATGTTCTTTGTCTTGCTCATACATGCAAGTTGACCTCAAAATGTAATGACGCCATTCCTTGAGCAAATGGGAGTCAGAAGATTCTTGGTAGAGTTTAGGAATTAGAGAAAGCCCTTGAATTAAAATGAGAGATTTTACTTAATGTGCTTGATTTTTTCAAATTTTCTAGTGAATTTATCTCATCATCTCTTAAAAAATTCATTAAATTTTTACAAATAAATTTTTAGTTTTTGCATTTCAATCCTGTTTTCTTTTTTTGGTTGTAACCAAGACCAAAACCCAAAAGAAAACTATGCTAATTCGATACAGGGAGATGAACCTCCCAAAGCATCCTGATAGAGAGGGCCTCTTAGCAGAGAAGGGAAAGTCGACACTTTCCTCCCTGTCTTATGCATGATAATCACCTTGACAAGAGTATCCATGCAAACGTTGCTACCTCTCTTAACATGACTAATCTCCACTTGCTAGTGTGGGTTTAGCAAAATTTTTATTGTTCAAATAACAAGGATGGTCTTAAGAATTGCTCCTCCTCTTACCAATGATTATTTTCACAAACTCCTTAGAATCTGTCTCCAGGTGAATCTTTTTAAAGTTCAGATCCCTAGCTAAAATAAGACTTTTCTACACCATTCACGCTTCATCCACCACCACTAGAGTTTCACCACTGTTTCTAGTAAAACCGCAGTCGTGTCTTCTTTTCTTTTGCTGTTTGTGACTTATGACAAGGAAAAGTGAAAGCAATTGAAGCATATTTATTTATCTGGGAAGACAGAAAAATAGAATCGAAAACACAGTCGTTTTCACAAAAATATTTTAAATTTGAAGTAAGGATTATGACTCATATTAAACTGATTAGAAGAATAAGTCACATAAAGATGGAGTTTACGTCTACTCTTTGCAAGGATTAATACAACTAGAAATATAAGTAATCAACTGAAAGTCAAATTCTAAAAATATAATTATAATAAAGTTTATATTACCATATAAATAGGAATCTTGAGTCAATAAAATTAATAATTCAAAATAACAAATAGAGAAAGATAAATATTATAATAAGGAAAAATCTTATTTAGAAAATAAAAATTCTACCTCCATTTATAGATAAAACTAAAATGAAAATAAATTTTCAATTATTAATGTCACATATCCCGCATCGATTAAGATAAATGAAATTGATTAGACTATACGCAAAGATATTACACGTCTCAACATATATATTTTTTAAGAATATATTATATAAAAACATATCAACATCACTTTTTATATTTAATGTAAGGGTATTTGTTATTTTTATTTAAATATTTTAACATTTTATTTCCAAAAATGAAATGCATTTCATGTTTTCTCTCCAAATAGGAATCGAAAAACATAATTTTTATTTCTAATTTTTTCAACACAATTTGCAAGTTCCCCTTCACCATCGCCATTGGAGTGAAAAACTAATTTCAATTCCGGAAAGCCTACACTATCTTGCCTGAGAAACCCGGCCCAAGCCTGTGGTGAGAGGATCCATTCATGGCCACCTAATGGGCATAGACCTAGCACTATCGACTTCGGGTTTGACCAGGCTCATCTCAGTCATGAGAGACCAACCTGTGAAGTCAAATTTTGAGAATCGAAAATCGTTCATATTTTTACTAAAGTTGTTTGAATTAAATTAGATATATCTAAATTTGAATTTAATTAACTTTTATTGTGTCTGAATTCGATCTCGAATCTTATAGAATTTATATTTATTAAGTTATATCAAATTTAATAAATAATTTGAAATTCGATAAAAAAATTCGATTTAATAAAAAAATAATTCTCTTATAAATTCAATATTTTAACTATATTACATTAATTATATTGATCCTTAAATTTTTTAATTTTTTCAATAAAATTTTTACAACTTTAAATTCACTAATGCCATATATATAAAATTATTAGTTTAATTAAAAATATTATTAAAATTCAAATTTAAATTTTTAACATATTAAATTATTTAATACCATATCTAACTTACTTATCTTAAATTACGAACATTTATTATTAAATCTAATCTACCGAATAATTTAATCATATTCAAATTTTAAATTTTAAATTAAAATTTAACTTATTGACAACTCTACTTCCCTTCATCTCCACCTTCCTTCTCCCTAATAAAAACCAGGAGTGAATTTGCTTTTTTTTTTTGGGGGGGGGGGGACCCCACACACACAGCTGCATTTATCAACTCTTCAAGGGCAAATATTCCTTGAATGGGCTAATTTTTGTTGCTTCTGTTGCAAACATTCCTAAATCTAACAAATTATTCCCAACAAAAACAAGTATTAACAAGTTCCTGCATTATCAGGACTTTCAGATAAAGTTAGACCCAATCTAAACTGCTGGGTGCACCAAACATAGAATTCTTGAATTGGAACCTCTTCATCCATTAAATGCAGAAGGATAACAACAAATGAAATTTTAATTAATGGAACAAGGACGCCAATAAGAGAGTCATAAAGCGATGCTGCTATTTACACATTACGTGTGATTATTTAGTATATTAAGTTCTATATTTGATATTTACAAGGTCAACTGAAGATAAAATTACTAAACGAACATGCAATCCATGATTTCCGCTTTGCGGTCAACCGCTCTGCATTTCAACTCGACACCCCAACCACCTCCCACCATATCAACAATGTTAAGGTCCCTCCCAGGAGAATAAAAGAATGGCTGCACACCTGCGAAATACAAGTAAATTGCATACAGAGCAGTAAGTCTGATTTGATATATAATTTCAATTATCATAAAATATCAGAAAAAAATATTAAGTGAAAGAAACACAACAATCAATCCTTTAACTGCAAAAAAGGCAACACCACCGGTAGCAGGGGATAGACATTAGATTACAACTTACAAACAAGTCAGGTATCCAGAAGAAAGCTATTAGGAAGGAGGGAGTTTAATCCAGCAAAGTTACTGATAGCAATATTGAACCACACAAAAGTTACCTCTAGTCAAACTCATCAACCTCAGCTTTAAACTGGTTCTCCACTTCCGGGCCTTCTCTGTCATTATTTACAAATTTAAGTTTGGCCTCCATTGTAGAGCTTTCTCTACTATTTACAATCTCAGGCCAAGGACTTGAATTAGGGCTGTCACTATTATTTACAAAACCCATGCTTTTTTCTGGCGGCATATGTGAACCTTCCCACCTAGTTTCTCCAATGCCATTACAAAGTTCAGTTACTGAAACAGCACCATCGGTCATGGTGTTAATAAAGCTGGTGTTGCTCATGCCTGAGAACATGCCATTTTCAGCTGGCCCAGACATCAGATGCAGTGGGCTCCTACTAGCACTGCTATCTGAAGCAGGAGACCTGCACACACACACACACACAGATTTCAGAAACAAGTAGAACATCACATTGACATAAAATGTGAACAACAATATGCCAATAAAAAATTGAAATAAGAACAAAATAAAAATCATGCACATTAAAAAATGACACATGGATCAATCAAAGCACTACAGAGGTTTGCATGTTTTTCCATCTCAACAGAACTAGAAGAAGAATTTCTGTGTAACTATCACAAGAAAAGTTTTGAACATCAAGAGGATCGGAGGAGGAAAAAAAAGAAAGAGACGAGAAAGAAGCTAATAAAAGCCACTCTACAGTCCAAAAAATTATGAAGAAAATCTAGTTCCAAATTTATCAACAAAGGAACCATAGAATCAAGGGAAGAAGATTAAAATGAAATCATGATAAGAACCTGAGTAAAACGAGATTATAGAACAACATTATACCTTGCTTGCTGGAATTTGGGAGTTGGAATGTAGTCAAAAACTGGTATCAAATCTTTTGACTTAATTTCAATCACGCTAGTTGGAAACTTTTCAATCTCTATTTCCCCTCCAAAAGCACCTCCTTGATCCGCTTTGAGGTCGTCTAAAATCATAGACTGGAAATAGATCTGCCCAAAACAAGGTCAAACAAGTTTATATTGCTCCAAACTTCAGTTCTCATGTTTTTTTGCAAAACAAATGCCTATCCTAGTTACACATACAGCATGAAGAATAATACCTCAGGCTTCATCCACAATGGGATTTGATCTTGATGCATCTGTAATTCAGCTTCAGAAATAAATAGATTGTGCCTTTCTTCAGCACCGATCTTTACTTTGGCAACTGAGCCCCTGGCCTCAGAGAACCCATAATTTTCCCTTTCTGTTACTTCAGGAAATATCTTGTGGCAGCCTGAGTTTCCATTTTCACCATAGATGTCAGTATTATCATTATACTCCCTTTGACTCTGTTTCTGACAGATATTCCACTTTTGAATTGCCTCCACTAATATTCTTGCATCATTTTCAGAAGCTGAGTCATAATAAGAAACCAATCCAGACACAACAGAGGCAGAATCTAAGCCAGAAGGTGCTCGCAATGCATACTGAATCAAACAACCAGGAGAAAAAACCAACAGGTGGTACTTCGCCTTCAAGGAGCTGCAACCTGCACGAAATTCCTTGCCCCTGCAGTTGTGAAAAGCTGAAGCAACGGCCCCAGAAATAGAACTCATCCGGCCTGCTGCAGCTGCTGCGGCACCAGTTACAGTGCTGCTCCAACCACCGCTTCCAGTCCTTATTCTGCCAACGACAGAAAGTGTAACAGGACCAGATTCACAAATGTTTAGTGGGTTAAACATCTGTGAATCTGAATTTGTTGGCCAACGAACAGGAGTCTTAGTCATAACATTAGATCCATTATTTTTATGGGCAAAACAATCATCAGAAACCTGAGTATTAACTGATCCCCCTGAAGGCGAAATAGCAAACAGATGGCTTGTTCCTCTGGAGGAACTTATCATAACCCAATGGCTGTCATCACTAAAACTGATATCCTGGATAACCTGAAAAGGAATAATCACAGAGATGTTAACACAAATCTATTTGATAGGATTTCAAGAAATTGAATTCAAAGACAGAGTCCAATATGAGATCTTACAGCATTTGTAAAACCACGTTGCAGCCTATAAAGATGCACACAAGATAAATTAGAAACAGAGCCTGAGGAACTTCGTAGTAATCCCGGCGTTATGCAAAAAACATTTATATTATGGCCTTGAACTGAAGCTGTCACCAGAAGGGTCCCACTTGGATCAAAGCACAATGATGCAATAGGACTTCTGTGTGCCTTAAATTGAGCAACAACAGATTTGCTGACAATATCTCGCACAATGACCTAACAAATAACATTACATTGTTAAGCAAACCATAACTACAGCAATACCCACAAATATGCACACATGGGGAAGAATGATAAATACCATTCCCATGCTTTCTGCCTCGGGCAGATGTCCATTGACGACTCCATTGACCTTCCAGCCAGGGCACCCTGATTGTGCAGAATTGCTGCCATCAGGTAAAAGCTCAGAACAGTACCTGGACAGCTTCTTATATCCCATGTCTCCTAGGGTTAGAATGCCAGCAGCTAGTTGCTTGCTAGACTCTTTTGCATAGTGGGCCACCAGGCTCCCATTCGAAGCAGGAACAGGAAAACTTCTAGAAGGAGTAAGATGTTGTGGACTCACACGCCCAGAGTTTGAAACTGCAACTGGACTTCCGCTGTAAGCCAACCATCTGGGTCCCACAGCCAGAGGCCCACAGCCTATGCCTCCAAACCCAGAACATCCAGTAAAGATAGGATTGGTGAGAATAGTATACTCCTTCTCTAAGGTAGCAGCACCAAAACAGTGTATCTGTAGCACATAATAAGTCCAATTTCACGCTCTGGAACAAGAAAAATATATGAAAAATTAAAAAGCGTATGACCGATTTTACCTGAGCAGCTTGTGCTACAGCAACAATTCGAGCACTACTCCTCACTGAATAAACAGCTGATCTAAATTTCAACACATGTATATATGATTGAGATCTCAAGGAATAAATCCAAACAACAGTGGGTATAAATCCACCATTTTTTGTATCAAGGGAACTCAAGGTGCTCCCACCATCTGATGTAGAAAATGTATCCTGGACTGCAGAAAGGGACCCATCTGCAGAGAGTGCCAAAAGAGGTCGACTATCTGCAAATTTGTCAGCAGCTTCTTTTGATGATATTGGCTTAGATAACATTTGCATGAATGAAACAGGCCCATCATGTCTGGAAACTAGGTCATGCACATTATCTGATTCTTCAACATCCCAAACTTGGAAACCAGACTGGTAACCCAGCAAGAGAACTTGCCTGCTGATTCCCCTTCACATTCTAACTTGTCAAAACCAGCCCAGAGCACCTGTAATTGCAGATATGAAGAATCAAATAAGTCACCCTCCTAGACAAAAAAACACTTTAATTTGTAGTGAAATTCATCAATGGCAGTTAGTATATAGTACAATATCATATGAAAAACATGAAGAGAGGAATATATTATTGGAGCACTGAGCTAGAGTAGTTTATTAGTAAAACATAGCACCATTGACATTTCAAATCCACCCTTCTAAAAAAATTGAAGCAGCTAATTTTCTGATTCTGAATCTTCTTTTGATTCTCAATAAAATCACCAATCTTATGCCGTCCATACCTAGATGTCTCCTACCTAATTCAGAAAAGAGCACATCAAATGGGATGCTATGAATAAGACTTACATATTGGAAATGTCATTTGCAATAAAAAAGAATTAAACTTTTTAACTCCCGAGAATTAAAAAAGGGCACAAAAATTGTAGCATGTAGCTACAGACTGAGCACTCAATACATATGAAGTATAAATACTATTCAAATGCATTGACTCAAAAAGAATTAAACTTTTTAACTCCCAAGAATTAAAAAAGGACAAAAAACAGTTATAGTAAGCAGTAACAGACTGTCAGCGCCCAATATACATGAACTATACAAACTATTCAAAAGTCTTGACTCGAGGGATTCATTCTTCTTCGTAAGTTCACCATAAAGCTTCTTCAATTATAGAAGATTCTTTCCCTTAGACTACAATAATGAGGAAGCCCAAGTTCAAAAAGATTGGAGGGAAGACTAAAGGGCATAATGATGGCCTCCTCAAATGGCCCATTCTTGCATTGTGCAGAGCTTGCATTAAAGGCTGCAAACAAGCCAAACTGAAATAACCATACTCAAGCCTGGCCCAATTCCAGCTCAATTTCATAAAGTTGTCTGGCTTGTGTAACTTTCAAGTAAGGTTGAATCAAGCTCAAGCTCAACATAACTCAGCTTGTTTACTTTCACACTCTAGTCCTAACATTATAAAGTTGAAGAATATGATCAAATAAAAAGAATAACAGAAGACATTAACAAAAGGAAAATTGTTTTGTCAGAATCCATTTAAGGTGTTGCTTTCATCCAAGAGAAAAAATACATTATAATAATTGGATTTTGTCTTGGAAACTCCATCCTTAAAAATTAAATAATTTGTGGTCTTACAGCCACTTTATTTATTTGAAAACCAATGAGTTTAGAACCATACACAAAAGGGCAATAATAAATAAAAATTTATCTGATAGCTCTTTAAAGAAATGGTGTTTTCATAAGCCCACTTGTGGTAAGCGACAAATGCAATTGTCGGTTAACTAATACGAGTACATGACAAGTCCTCAAACACCCAATACAGTGGACCTTCAATAATATCAACAAACAACGGAAAACTTAAATTTTGTCAAAACATCAAAGATACGTGTTCTATCCACGTGCCACTTTACCGACTTATCCCAAAAGCATTATTAAAGCTGTCGGCTTAATGTTTCGATCATGTAGTAGAATCACTAGCAATCCTAATCAGTAAATCTTTACTGTTTGACCAAACCACGTGATTATATTTGTCCACTTATCAAGAATAATGAGGCCAGTCCACTTGTAAATGAAAACAAAGTAAAACCTCAACCCGGCAAATGAAATGCATTTATAATTCAATCTGACCAACAAAGTAACTGAACACGCAGCCATGCTTTTTCAAATATCATCAAGTAGGTTCCCAGTAACTCAACACACATGGCAAGACACTCCAAAAATAACCATTATTACATGGAAGTTATCTCGCCAAAAAAAAAAAAAAGGTCATTGAATAGTCAATCATTTGCCTAAAAGCCTAACAGGGGAACTGGACAGCTTAAATTCCTCACCTAAAATTGGACTAACTAAGAAGTGCCGCATAAAATTACATACAAAAACGCACACCCAACGAAACTGCATCCAAAAACACCATGTATATCATTTCAATCAGCTCCTTTTTTATCATTCTCCTCTAGAGGCGACGAAACAACAATCAATAATGTAACCCCTTGACTGCTGTCTAAGCCCCTAGTTTAGTAGTAACTGCCACGTGTATCACTCAGATATATATGAACTGGGACGTCCCCTATCCCTTTTTGCATCCCTGCTCGCCATAAGATCAACCACAGAATCTTAACTTCGTTTAATGGCTTCCCAAGCATTAACTGTAAAAGCTTTAAATACTAGACAGGTAGATATCTAGACAACTGCACGCAGAAAATTAGAGGCCACGTCCCATAAAGAACTCATCCAAGATTCAGCCCTTCAAACAATAATTCTAGAAGGGCACATAGTCAATACTAAAACGTACAAGTTTCATCCTTTGTCCTAAAATAAAGCTTCCCTGTTTGAGATAACAACGAAATCCAGTTTTAAGTCATACCTGATTGCGTACACCATCATTTTCCCTGTCCACAATCGCGGAGGCAGCAGACCCGCTGACCGGACCGTGGAAGCAACGGTCGAAGCACCAGAGGAGACAACCCTCAAGTAGCCAGAGAGTGACCGAAACGACGTCGGAATGAAGCCCTTGGCCCGTCCTGGTCTCGGCACACCACCCTGCTCTTTCTGGCCATCACTCCTCATCCCCTGCTGAAGCCAAACAACTCTCCCGCAGCAAAGAAGAAGAGAACCCAGAAATGAAGCAGTCCCTGATTCTCCAAAGTCTCTCCTGAACTGATCATAACCTCGAACTGTTCCTTTAAATGCCCCTCACCGCACAGAAAGAGATGAAACTGCTCTATCAATCCACGGGCAACAACTCACAGCTGTCTCCCCCTGCTCCCAACACATAAACCATCCCGCTCTCAGAAGACAGAAAGCCCCAAAAACAACGGACTTACCCTCCGAATCAGAACAAAATGAAGCGCTTCGTGTCCACCGTCGTTTTATACCTTTGATCAATTTTTTCAACACAAAATCAGGAGAGTACCCGTCCAAAACTCAATAGAAATCAGAAAGAAGAAAAAAATTTCAAACCCCCCTGGTGCTGTACACTAAATCGAACATTAGGTCAATTCAATCCAAACCAAAATCAATCCTAGAATACGAAAAGACAAACGGCTTTGAAGAAAATAATTGTTGAAACGAATTAAAAAATTTAAGAATGGGTAATCAGAATGATGTCTTAGGGTTTTCGCTGGGACAACACCACTCAATTGACAGATATTTATCTGCTGCATGCATAAAAAACCAGCATATGTATTTAATTGGATGGACAAATATAGAAAGATGAAGAGGAAGATGAAGGGATTGAACGAATCTGGATGTTGGATGTTAATAGAGACACTAAAAAGGAAAAACAAAAAAACTTCGTCTGCGTCTATCTACGAAAAACAGTTCCTACTCCGGTTTGATTTGGTTTGGTTTGGCGTTCGGGCTAGTCGTAGTTGAAGTGTCGCACGAAGAAAACCTCCCTCGCACGTCTCGTCCGTCTCTCTCTCTCTCCCTTTTCTTTTTCTCCTTTTTTTCTTTTCTTTTTTACTTTTTTGGATTGAATTACCTGTCGGTCAACGGACGCGTCAAATTGTTTTCACCTGTCCCGTCTCTGCTCCGTCTCTGACAGCAGTAAAAACGGGACGACGTAAATGCTTCGCGGATTCCGTGCAGGGTAAAAAAGTAAATTTACTTTTTAAAAAAATTACGAAAAAAGTTGCGATTTCCGAATTTTGCGCTAATAAATACCTTTTATAATATTAAAAATTTGAATAATTAAAAAGGATTTGATAAAACCGATTTTTACCAAGTTAAAAAAATTGTAAAAATTATTACTCGATCGTCGCATGTGGATTGATGATTGACGTCACCAACAGCTGCAATCTTCAAACACAATGAGCGATAAGATCAAGTGAAATTGTCTGAAATAAATATTTGTCAAAATCTATTAATTATGGATTCATTAAATCACATTTCATTTCACTCATAAGGGCTCAATATTCTTTTTTATGGTGTAATAAATTAAATCGAGAAGGACTTTTTGGTAAAGTAATTGGTTAAAAGTCAAAATATTTTAGACTTATTCAAAAATTCAATTTTTTTATTAATATTATCTTTATATATTTGAATATTTTTATTACCAATCTTTAAACTAATCAACGGGAATTTAGTAGATATTAATTTTAATTTTGGAAAATTTTTCTTTGCGTTTACCATTCTTCATAAAAATCCAAATTAAAAATTTCCTATTTTGAATTCAGGATTATTCAAATATACCCATGCATGCACGTCCAATAATTTGTTGGCACGTGGAGATTAAATGACTTTTACGCCAATAAGCATTTAATTAAGGCTTCAACAAACATGCCGACGTTGTTACGGAGGCGTGGAAGGTAGTTTCTGTCGGCTTTAATGTTCGAGCATGTTGTCAACTTCAACCAATCTCGGTATTCGTCATTTTGTTAATAGAATGTAAATCCCAAAATCACCCCAACAAAATCAAAACACCCCCGTTTTATTTCCTGTTTGATTATTTTTATGCATCATTCAACCCAACCTAGGGATGGCAACCTTCAATAAAAAGAAGACCTGGATTCAAATCACGCAGGTTTATAATTTAATCTTCATATTAGGATCCATTAAATACTCCTCTACTCAAACTCAGATTCATTAATTCAAATCCATGATCACTTATAAATGATATTTATAATTTAGAATATGTAAAAATTCAAAATAAATAAAAAAAATCTAAATAGGTAGTAAATGCATATATTAACTAAATCATGAATTAAAAATTATATTTTTATATATGATATATATATAATTTATAAATAAAAACAATATGAATATAATAATATAATAACAAGGTACCCAACTCCTTCAATATACTCATTTAATTATTTAGATTCGAATCTTACCCATTTGACAAGTTCAATTAAAACCCAACCCCATTGCCATCTCTTACCCCTACTGCATTTCCCACCAATGGCCTTCCTTTAATTATAGGAAAAATAAAGAAATTATATATTTTCTGATAAAAGTATAAATATTTTTACATTTAATTTTTTCTATATTATTACTAGGAAAATATTAAAGAATATTTCCCTTTTTACTGAGTTTTGAAATTCTAGGCATTAAAAAGAAAGACAAATTTATGATAAGCTTGTAAAGTACGAGCAGGTGAAGTCGCAATTGAGTTGACATCTTAAAGGTGTAAAGTCTACGATTACTTTACACGTGCCGTTATTATGAGTTTATTTGATATTAGGTGTTATCCTAATAGTGGAACAGCACTCTTGGATAGGTGATACATGTCCCAACAGATAAATAATCTATTAGAACACATGATATTTGTCACTCATTTAAGAATATTGTCCTATTA